GTAGGGTAGATAATTAGCATTTAATTTTGCCATTTTTAGACAAGGGTGCATTGCAATGAGTGCCACACCCAGACCCCAATACCGACAAAGCCCAAATTTTACGTGGAACGAGTTGAGATTATAGGTGACCTAAATCCATGAGATGGGTACGGGGGCCCTTACCGTCTAGGAGGAGAAGCGGTAACGGTAGCCGTCCGGCGGAGCCGGCGGAACATTCCGGACGGGACCGAAACCATGTGTACCGCCAGCGCTAACGCTGGTGGTACAATAAATAAATGAAAATCTTTCAAAAGACTTAAAACATCCAATGTGAATCAATAATTGCCACAGTCATGGACAAGTCCTAATATTGTGATATTAGTCAATGGTTCAATAAACAACATGTATCAAAGCTCAAACACCTTGACTTAAAATCAGGCAAATCAGAAGTTAAGCTTCTATTTGTGACTCTAAGGTATAATACTCCATGCAGCAGGCTCCCATGCTGCATAAATAACACCCCCAAGGCTACAATTCTGATTTAATAATTACAAGACACGCCTCCCCAGGGAGCAATTCTCTTCATGTCATTACACGACTCTCATCTAAAATAATCAGAATGTCTTGTCTTCCCCAGCACAATGGGGCCACTGATGGATTTGTGTACTGTTAGAGGTGGGAGCTTTGTATGGTGTATTTTTACATACATATTCTCTTGCTTTTTTATTATTATTAAAATAATATAGGTCAATATGAAGATTTGTAAAATGTGACTATAACATGTAATTCAGGGAAAAATCTAACCCCTATGGAATACTTTGACCAGTAATTAATTGTTGATCATAATGGTTAGTCCACTTCCCTTCCTACATGCAAAAGTGCAATACTTCTTTTTCTAGGTGCCTTGATTAATTGACTAGATCTAGGATTTAAACACTGATATTTACACCATTTCAGACTAGACGATAACAGTGAATGTCAGTCACGGTAGATACGTTTGCAGTAATGGTTCAATCTTTTCAATGGAGGAAAATTGTGAATTTTACAGATAATCTATTTTTTTCAAGCCACATATTCTTAAAATTAGAACATTCCCCTTTGAGAAGTAGCAACAAAATGGAAAAGCAGGCTACCTTATGAATCTATTATATACAGTAAAAGCACCACAAATGCTACATAGAAATATGTTTTTTAATGATTACAAAATTGATTTTTTGACAGATAGATAATTTTTCCCAATTGAAAAGACAGAATTGTTACCATATCGTTATATTTGACCAACCTGTCCATAACTCCTCCTGAGTCACCACTGCGCCCCCTATTGGGAGCTAGTGAATCTAATTCATCAAAGAAGACAACACAGGGGGCAGCACTTCTGGCACGATGGAACACTGAAGTGATTTAGAGACATATCTTATTTATTAATGTGAGAAAATATCCAACAAATTTATCTTGAAAGAAATGTCCACATGGTTAGTCACAAAATATATAAAACAATATTCATCAGATCCCAACTACTTTTCCTAAGATGTACAGAGAAGTGCAAGAAGTAGTTATTTGAAAAACAGAACCTACCTTCTCTAACATTTTCTTCACTCTGTCCAACATACATATTGATTAATTCTGGTCCTTTTACACTAAAGCATGAACAGAAAATGACTTAAAAAGGTCAAAAGATAATCTGATATTTCACCAATGTGAACAGCCAATGTCAAAAAATATTTAATTACATTGGTTGACTCTACTGAGATAACAATTATTTCTTTCAAATTTTGAATACATCGAGGAAAAGACTATAAGATTTTTTTAAAAAACATTTTAAAAACATTTATTTTAAAACATTCACCATTATATTTATACCAAAATCATTACAATTATCTTACCTAAGAAAATTGAGAGAACATTCTGTGGCCACAGCTTTAGCAAGCAGAGTCTTCCCTGTTCCTGGAGGACCATACAGTAGAACCCCTGCAAGATATTATCATGATTATCCAGGTTTACTTATCATTTAAAATATTATTCTCCTATACAAGATACAATAGGTCAGAGTCTTCCCTGTTCCTGGAGGACCATATAGTAGAACACCTGCAAGATACAATTAGTCAGGGTTGGTTTATATATCATATAATAATAATAATAATAATAATAATAATAATAATAATAATAATAGTAGTAATAATATTCTCCTATACAAGATACAATAAGTCAGGGTTGGTTTATATATCATACAAAAAATCATGTTCCTGATTACATGATAACCCTGAAAGTGCCCAACAATGACACCACCGCTGACAAACATTGATTATATAACATTGATTATACAAATTACATGATTAGATAAAATGGTTAAACTGTGTCATGAAATGTGTATTTAACATTTATGAAAAAGCTACCTAAAATTCTAACTTTCTTAGTTTAGGCTGAATGGCTTTGAGATGACAACAGCTATAACCAAGAATTATCTTACTCACACAGACTGACACAGCTAATAAAAGTTATCCCATTTACAGGAATGCCATAAAATCCAATGGCCAGTTGAACTCTGAAAAGTGAAGTTCTTGCTGATATTTATGTCTTTATCATATCTCACCTGATCTCCTCAGTCCAGCAGCAAACAGTTCTGGGTGCTCTAGTGGAAGTTGTATGGTGTCCAGAATCTCAGCTTTGATATCTGCCAGGCCACCAACATCTTCCCAGCTAACATTGGGAATCTGGGAGGAATAGAACCAAGTCTACATATTGGAGAGAAAGTTTTTTTTCAAGCTTAAATAAGGCACATCTTGACCACTTCTTTTTCCTGTTCATAAGATGATTTTTTTTAACATGCAGTTTTACCCATTTTTTCCACCTTAACACCAAGTTCGACCCACCTGTGGTGCCCCAATGGCGTCGGAGTGTGCCGCCTGTAGCTGGTCTAAAGCCAGGTCAAAGTCCTCCTGACTCACACACAGGCCTGCCCTACAGATATCCTCCTCCTGCTGGAAACTGAGAGAACTCGTCCCTATGCTGCAATAACACACAGGAAATGTATGTAATCACACATAAGTCAGGTCAAACTCAATAATTCCTTCAGATATTGGTTCTTTTCAAACTCTTCCACATAAACACAACAGAAATTGTGTATCAATACCATTATAGTAGAAAGCTGAAAGCACAGAATATATTATCCCTGCCTGCCAGTAACACTACCAGTCCAAGATATACCAGAGGCATTGGGAATCCAGTGACTACTTAGCCACATGTGGACTCATAAACATCATTAGCTCACAGAAAGTCTTCCATGAATCTAGAGACCACCACCAACAGACAGCTTCTCCATGGCATGCTGTGCATGTATCTGCTTGGTTCAAGAAAATACACACAGCAGTACCTTTGTCTGAGCATAATGGAGAACAATATCTTAGAAAAAATAAAATCTCTACTTAAATCAGGCACAGATGCTCAAGTATGTCAGTTCTATATCAATAATACCACTTACCATGCCTGTTTAACCCTCCTTAATGTTGATCTCTTTGCATGTGTCACCAGAGCCTGCAGGTCCCCAAACACCATTCCCTACATAATATAACTAGCTGAAATCAGCTGCAGAGACCATTGCTCACAAGATTGTTTTTAAAGTAATGGGTCTATAGAAATGAAAACTGTCAAAAACATGAAAATTATCCTTAGAGTACAGAAATCAAGCAGTTAAACAGTGGCACAAGAAACCAAGCTGCTCATTCCACATTCGACCAGGAGCAGTTTAAAGGAACCATACTTACAGCAGTCCTCTGAGCTATATGAGATAATGAAAGACTAGAAGAGCAAGGCACAGAAGCCAGCAAAAAGTCCACCATATCTCTTCTTTCTTCCTCTGTTGGAACCTAAATTTATGAAGGCAAAGATTTTTAATAAAATCCAAATCCATAAAAATATATTTTTATCCATATAACAAATAACCAAAACACAAATTTTAACACAAATGCACCGACTTGTGTGCATGCATGCTCACACAAAAAGCAATTATGTCATATTCTTTTTCACTGAAGAATCCAATTTCACTTGATCTAACAAACTTGTAAATTATTTGCAGACAAAGACTGTTTATAATCTTTCATAAAATGAGAGCAAAATGTCAGATTATACTGAATCCAGAAGAAAAAACCATACCTTCATTACTACTTGGTGAAGAAACCCTTCACACATATCAGTACTCATCTGATTGGATGAGTTGCTTGTTGCCACAACGATTATGGGCCAATCAGAATCACAGGCATTTGCCGTCTGCATGTTCTCTAGAAAGGTGGCTGTGACCCTGGCATCTTCACTGATCCCATCTCTGTCCTTACTGAGAGCATCGATATTTGAAAGATACAGAATGCAGGGACTGTAACTTCGAGCTGAAAAGAAATAAACTTGAGCGGATCACATGAAATACTGAGGCTGTTCTGTGATCATTAACGTACAATCTGTTTTAATATATAGTAAGTTTCTTTTTTAACTTCTTATTTCAATATAAAGAGAAAATTAAAGGCGGCTATTACATGTGGAGATCCAACAGACTGAGATACATACAACATTCACTACATGACTTCTATTACATCTGCAAATGTACATTAAGTACTTGACACATTTCCCTCTGCAGCATACCTTTAGTGAACATGTTCTTCACTCTCTGTTCAGTGGCAGATGATGTTTCCCCACTGATGTCATGGCAGCTGACCTATATATAGTAGAGAATTCAGAAAAAACATTTTTAAATTTGTCATTTAAGAATGAAATATCTTTGAACTTAAACATTTAAACTGGTTTCATAAACTCAGCCCTGGTCATATTTTCAACACATGGATTGTTTCTATTCTAATGTGTCTTTTAAATATATAAAACATTAATTTACAGAATATAATCACACAGCTACATAAACAACAGAAGTCCCTACCTTGTAGACCTTCATACTAAGAGCACATGCTACTCCTCTCACAACAAGAATATAATTACATAGCTACATAAACAACAGAATTCCCTACCTTATAGACCTTCATACTAAGAGCACATGCTACTCCTCTCACAACAAGAATATAATCACATAGCTACATAAACAACAGAAGTCCCTACCTTGTAGACCTTCATACTAAGAGCACATGCTACTCCTCTCACAACAAGAATATAATCACATAGCTACATAAACAACAGAAGTCCCTACCTTACAGACCTGCATACTAAGAGCACATGCTACTCCTCTCACAACAAGAATATAATCACATAGCTACATAAACAACAGAAGTCCATACCTTATAGACCTGCATACTAAGAGCACTTGCTACTGCTCTCACAACAATGCCTTTCCCACACCCCACTGGGCCCTTCAGTAGAAATGAGGCCATAGAAAGAGACCGTCTGGAACTGACAAACATGGACTACAGTAATATTAGCAATTGTTTTAGTTTGTTACAATTTAGCATTTGTTAGAATTAAGTCACTCTTAAGATTTTCTTGAAACCAGATCCTATTTTGTTATAAAGACTCTTGTAATGACTGGAATACTGACACTGATGTATGACTGGTTATGTTAAAATTTGAAATGGATGTATCAACTAAGACATGGAAAATAACACAACTCACCTGGAGTTTAGGTAAGGTAGGCACAGTGCTTCTATTTGTTCCTTTATTTTCCTGAGACCCTTTGGCAAGTGTAATGGTGGGCAGAAAGTTCTGGGACCGTCCCAAAACTGAGTTGTTACTGGTAAGTAGCTTTGTACAATGCCTGCCTACAAGAGATAAAATAAAGCAGTTTGAGAATTTAATTTCAATTTGATTTTACAAAATTATACCTCAAATACTGCATATTAATTAAATTACAAATTACTTAAAAAATAGATCAATGAAGAGCCACAATGAAAATTAAAGTTAAAATTTTTTCAAAATGTCCCCTTGACCCTGTATTACCTTGTATCCTCTTACATCAGTACTGGGTCATAAAGAGTCACAGCACAATAAACTTTCATCTTTATGAAACTAGACATTGATTCCAAATACTGTGTTGTTAGACATGATTGTACATTTCAATTTTTCAAAGTATAAACCAACTGACCTGAAACAAAGAGGTGTGTTGGATATCTACAAGGCAGCAGTCCCAGCCAGGATATGTAGGTTCATACCTGGTCACTTTAAAATACACCACAGGAAGCCTCTGGTCTACTGTCTCCGTCAGCTCTTGAAAACACTGTGCACTACCTAAATAAGATTTTAAAAAATAAATATATTGAGTTTACAACTGAATTCTGTATTAACTTCAATACATTGTAATGTATTCAAAATTCAATGTTGTTTATACATTTAAAACTGTATTACAAAACATTGAAAGCAGTGTAAGACTTCTCATACCTAATTCTCATCCGGTATGTTATAATTCTCAGTCAGAAAGGTGAATAAAAATGCTGTTTATGTTTACAACCCACCTTTTGTTGAAACAGCTATAATATCATCCACACTCAATAACCTATGGCAAAAAAAATTATAATAAATAAATAAAATAAATAAAAACACTATTGAGATGAACATGAATATGAGGTAATTCTAAACACTGGTTATGGCAATTACAATGTCTAGTACTAAAATATATATGTATACAATGACCACTAGTATTTGATTACCTCTTACAGGTATTCCATATAAAAACTTTATTCTCACTGCCCCAATTTAAAGGAAATGAACTCCACAATTAAGGAAAATTTAATCTGCTTTTGAAACATCTCTCCATTTTTCTAGAAGCAACGATACCTTGCAGTAGAAAAATACTCTTTCATGACACTGTCTGGAGTCTCTGCCACAGGGTGACATGGAGAGTGAACAACAGAAATGTGAACTTCTCTGGCATATGGTATTTTGGCATGGCAGGAAGTGCTACAAGACCTAGGTGAAGCTTTGTTGTCATCCTCTTCCAGTGGCTAGAATCACACAGATAATGAATGTAATCTATTTATAAGCTTGCATAATAATGACCATTGACAAAGAACATGACAAGTCTAATTTACAACCATTCTCTTTCAATAAGGATTGTCATATACAACAGAAAGATGTCAATGTGAATTTACTTTTTTCCATCTGTGTAGTGTATTGTAAATTTTAAGAACAATACCTTTATTGATACTTGTAACTTGCTTGTATGTCTTGGAAAGTTGGTCCCTCTGAACAGCAAGTTGTGCCTGAATACTGGAGTGACATAAATGCTGTTGTCTTCAATGTTTGGATGAGATGAGACTGACAAAGACACATATCTTTTGAGCAGTTTTGTTGTGTCTCTTTCATGTTTGTCATCTTCTGTTTCCGATGTGGTTGCAGTAGAGATTTTGGTATCCAAGCCTTTAGTATCAGAGCTACTTTCCACTGGAACTAATGTTAAATGCACCAGGCTGTCATGGTATAAACCATTGTGTTTTGCAGTATTCACTGAAATCACTCCTATGGTATTGGGATCTTTTATGTCATGTTCCTTCATATAACCAGTGCACATGTTATCCCACACCTCCTTGGAATCTACACAGAATAATTTGTAAACACAATCATCAGATGAACCTCTGTCAACAGTGATGTCACTATGAGTTGCTTTACCACTAAGCACATCTGTGATTGGCTTTGCAAACTCTGAAAGTACTGGAAGGTGAAATTCAGTCAAATCAGAGGAGTCACTCGCAGTGGCATCAGCTGGCTTGTGCTCATTATTCAATCCACTGATCTTTGTGACTACAATTTCGGTGCTTACTGATAGAATACCCTGACATACCGGCTCACACTCCAACACTACTAAATCAAACTGGACAGCAACTGGTGGGGTCCCCTTGCCTCTAGAGCTTTGTGACAGAGTAAGATTGGTGGGTAGCAGCAATACATCCTGTTTTCTAACAAGGACTGGTCCCCTGCATATGTTGATTAGAAGGGAGGGGGAACACATGGAATCCGAGGCCCAGGTGTACGCCTCTACAGTCTTAGCACCAATTACAACTCGTTTCATGGGGAAAGATTCCACAGAGTGTAACACTATGTCATCCTCTACGGAGAAACCGTAGTAATGTAGAAAAGTTTCTGTGCATCCCAGGAGCAAGTTCGTCTCTTCCAAATCGGCATTTTCAATACAAGAAGAGGAGGGAATGTGCACTTTGGACTTGTAAACACTGACTTGTAATGATGGAAATCCTGGGGTGGCTGTTTTCTTACTTACTGCCCCAATTGCATGATCATTTTCATTATTTTCAAACACTAAATCATACTGTTGTTCATTCAACTGTAAATGTAAAGGATGAATCCCACGCAAATTTGGTAAAACAGAGAATTTTGCTGCGAACATTTTTCTTCTGCTGGGCGCTGCCATATTGTTTATTCCCCGACACCACTTGCGTTTCCGTTCCACACGTGCTTCCGGTTGAAATTGATGATTGTGGTGTATTTTGGTTGTGACAGTTTTGGCCGAAGAAGAAATCGGTTTAATATTCAGTCATGAAGTAAGTGATTTCCAGTTGTATTTACTTAAGGTATTGTCATAAGTTACTTAAGCTAGTGCTTTCTTTGTAATGGCCTGAAATTATATAATTATACCCGTAAATCTTGTGGCATATTCTTTTTGTTTACAAATATCAATGCATCCTCGCAAACGAGTCGGTTGTGTTTTGGGCGGTGAACAGTTGGCCGCGGTTTTGTTGAGCAGAATACATAAAACCATTGCACCATTGATGGCTTGGATATCGTTGAACTATTGGCCTGTTAAATTGAAGGCAGGCCCCAGTAATGCATGATATAATGGATTCTACTGGGTACAGGGTGTGATGGCTGATGCACCACTTACTGGAGCCCCTACTGAAGTCATGTATTGTTTTTCTGGAATAAAGGCACATAGAGATCTGTTGCTTTGATTAAAACACACCCCTGCTCTTGTTAATCTGTGTAATAATGTTGGTAAATAGATCGGTTACCTTTGCATTCAAAATAAGACTACTGAGTATGTGCCTCTATTCCAGGTAAACATAAAACAGAGGGGGAGGAAAGGCTGAGAAAGCAGACATCATTGGGATCTGTTTATTGCTTTGCTATATAAGCTGGTATAAACTGGATGTACCTGTGGATGTCTTATGTTGGATTCATTGTTTAAGTTTATCTTTGGTCAAAGATGCAGCGACAATGTGTTTTTATGAAACTTGGTCGCCTTGGTTACCTCCAAGCTCTGGAAATACAGAACAGGTTGTCAAAGTTACGTTTGGACCACATGGCTGGGAAACCTGTCCAGGAAAAACCTGTTAACACCCTGCTTCTATTAGAACACAACCCAGTGTACACCATCGGCATGAGAACCAGAGACTACACTCTCAGGGATGAGGACCACTTGAAGGCATTGGGTGCTGAATTTGTGAAGACAAATCGCGGAGGTTTGATAACTTTTCACGGCCCAGGTCAACTGGTGGTTTATCCTGTGATTTACTTGAAAGATTTCAAACTAAGCATGAGGGAGTATATAGGAAAGCTGGAAGACACTGTGATTGACATGTGTGCTGAGGCATATGGCATAGAGGCAAATACCACCAAAGACACTGGCATTTGGGTGGGTGAGAAAAAGCTCTGTGCCATTGGAGTCCATGGCGCTCGATATGTGACCACTCACGGCCTAGCTCTCAATTGTAACACTGATTTGGATTGGTTTAAGCATATCGTACCCTGTGGTATTGTGGATAAAGGTGTAACCTCGTTATCACAACTGATGAGTAGAAATGTTACAGTGGAAGAGGCAATACCACCATTTCTTCAATCATTTGCTAAAATTTTTCAGTGTAAACTCAAAGAAATATTTGATTCAGAGCAGTGAAAGTTTTAATTTTCTCATCTTGATAGTATGGTCTTGAAAGGACTCTGACCTTTTGAAAAATACCTGTATTGAAATATTTAACTTGAAGTTCTTACAGGGTGATGAATTAAATTAAGATGTTGGCTTGATGACAGTGAAAAATGTGACACATTTATCACATATTGATTTGGAATCTGTACTTGATGTCAGTAAAAGTTCTGTCAGAACCTCTCCATTGTTGTAAAACCCTGTTACCATTGCTCAATGAGGTAAATTAAGTGGATAGATTGTTTTATAGAGATGTACATGTGAGTTTTTGGTGGAAACTTTTCTTTAAAGAAAATTTATTGGAATGTTTAATCTGGAGTTATAGATGCAAGTCTTCTAATTTTAGACATGAAAGTTGCATTTGATTTTATTACTGTCTTATTTGAGAGCTATATATAGTATAGGTCCAGTGAACATAACACTACAGTGCGAATCATATGTGAGCTACCTGAGATTTTTACAGTTCTCATCAATTAATAAAAGTTATTAAAAGAGATTGATTTGTTTCTTTAATGGTGTATATGTTTATTGTTAATTTAATAAGATAAATACTAGTAAATGCAAGGATTTTTGCAGTACTTTGTCAGCTATTCCATAATGAATATGGCTGAGACAGCTGACTAGAACTTGGTTTCCAAGAGCCCTGAGTAACCTTGTCTAGAAGGAAAGAAATATTGTTCATATTTTGAACACTTGAGCATGAATTGAAATCTTTTCTATATAAACATATCAAAATTTTTAATGGGTTTAAGTAAAAATAAAGAATAAAAACAGAAAGAACCTTTGCTGAAATTAGTTTAATGTTACAGTTTTACTGCAGATCCATAAGTCGTAAAAAAAGTTTCATGATGAAAAAAATGTCTGTTTGGCAAAATTGTTCACAGGAACTTGTATATGAATGAATGAATTTTATATTTGTGATCAAAGGCTGAAAAATTGTGATCGTTTATTAAAAAAAGAAATTTTAATTAAAAGAAAAATGATATCAAAGTTTTTAATAACATAAAACAATCTGTGCCAAATTCTGATACCAGTTTTAGCTGATAATGTATTGGAGGTGGTTGTGTCTTCTTCAGATTGAATATAGATGGACTGCTGGTCTACTTCCCGTATGACTACATCTACCCAGAACAGTACTCATACATGCTGGAACTGAAACGATCTCTGGATGCTAAGGTATGCATTGGCTTGGTTGCAATAATATGAAACTGCTGTAGAAAAGTGATGCATTGCTTACATTTACATTGCACATAAAAGTGGAACTTATGATTTAGGGGGCATGATTGGGTTAGACTGGGTTCCCATCCCTAGATCCATCTAACAGATTCGCTCCATCTGCACGGGGTTTCTTGCTAAATTGCTTTTAGCTTAAATGGCTTAGATGTCTGGGACGCCTACTAAAGCTGCTAAATGATAGCTAATTGCCCCCTATTAGCTTCAGAAGGTGTGACAGACATCTAAGCTGCTGAAGTTAATTGCAATTAAGCGAAAATCCCCTTGGAGATAGTTCGTTCCAAAGTTAGTATGATAGGGTCTGGGAATGGTCTCTTACTTACAAAGGATATTTGGAAATGAACGTAGGCTGTCTGGAAAGAAAGTGGGAGAAATAAGATACATTATCCAGTACACTGCCCCTTAAACAAAGACTTTTTGCGTGTGATTCTTTTAACCACAAATTAAAGGACGTGTTGTAGATTGTATGTGATTTTCTCAAACACAATTATATGTTGTATATGATAAGAAATCTTCTCTACCACATTCCAGAGTCACTGTGTGCTGGAGGTGCCATGTTGTAGATTGTGTTTGATCTTCTCTAACACAATTATATGTTGTATGTGATAAAAAATCTTCTCTACCACATTTCAGGGCCACTGTGTACTGGAGATGCCATGTGGAACTGGCAAGACGGTGTCATTGCTGTCACTCATTATTGCTTATCAAAAGGCAGGTGCCATTTTAACCAGACTTCACCACTCCTCTTTCTTTTCTGAATTAACTCTTTCCTCAGTTCTCCTGGCTTTCATTTACACAATCTTTTAATTCAACTTTCCACACCTGATGCTCATTAATTGAGAAAGGTAATTTAAAGGGAATTTGGTCAATAAAAAAGTGAATATAATTGTATGACCTCACAGAAACCTACAATGTGATATTTCAGGTATATTGTGTGGCAGGTATATGGTGTGTATGTTATATCATGGTAGGAAAATATGAATATTTCTCATCTTCCAGACATATCCCCTCGATGTCACCAAGCTGATCTATTGCTCCAGGACAGTCCCCGAGTTGGAGAAGGTGAGGTTTATAACCCATTCTTTCCAAGAAAGGTCTTTGATTGATAGCTAAAAGATCAAAAATCATTATCTGATATATATATGATTGTCAAAATAATATGTTTTTAGATAATATCAAGCATCCATAATGATAGGTGAATATGCCACATCCTGGCTTATTATGCATACGGGTTGATAACCATTTTATCTCAATAATGACAGGTATTAAGTTTCTGTCACAGATTTGTGTTGCTGGAAAAGCACAGAAATTTATTCCATCCCTTGAGTTTAAGCCTTCTTTGTTTTTAAAAAAAAAAATTTTTTTGGGGGGGGGGGGGGGGAAGTCGTCTGGAAAGCTTATTTTATCCTTTATCTTGTGCATTTTTTCACAATCACCTCTCTCACATTTTAAATTTATTATGAAAATATGCACTGTTAAGCCTTAAACTGGGCTTTATCAATTTTCTACAAAAGCTATCCAGTATTTTGTCTTTAAACAGTTTTGTTATTTATTTATTTTTTTTGCTGTATTACCTTGAACATTGTGAATGAAAAATGTTGCCCTGCTTCAGATTTGTTGCTTGTGAATTCAATAAACAAATATAGTGATTTTGATAAACAAATAAATATTTGTTTATTGCTTTAGAATTGTATCTAACCTAAAATGAAATTTATTAAAATTTTATTGCAGTTATATTGTAATTGTGTTGCAATTTCTTGAACCATCTGTTAAACATGGATATAAGACCACATTTACAACCAAAGTTGATCCACAGACTAACATATCCATGGATCAATTTGAAATATGGCCCACTTGAATGCTTGTTACATAATCTCCATGGGGAATCTGTTCAGTGTCTATTTGGGGATTATGCAGCAAGCTTTCAAGTGGGTCAGCCATATTTGATCTGTGATCTGTTAGTGTATGGATCAGCTTATTCTGAATGCTCTGTAAGTGGAGTTTAAAGTTGGTCATAGTTGAAAGCTTTCCTTTTATTACATGTAGGTTGTAGAGGAACTGAAGACACTTATAGAATACTATGAGAAGGAAACGGGAGAGCCAAATGACTTAGTAGGCCTAGCGCTGAGCTCTAGAAAGAATCTGTGCATTCATCCAGAGGTCAGTGAGGTCATATGTCAGTGAGGTCATATGTTATTTTGCATAGGAAGCATGCTACAGCACAAGATAATTAAGATGAAAACCTTGATTGTTTTTTTCCCTTGAACTGGTGTTAAGTAATCTTGATGAAAACTTTGCCAGGTACCTGCTCATGTTATCCTCTCCTCTTGTTATTCATCGTCTCTTCCTGTATTTTCATGCAGTAACCAATGTGACCTTTAGCTCTTATGGAACAATTGATTAATTCTCTATTTGTCAAAGACGGGTAGGAAATGATTTATACATTGTGACAGGTGACAGATCCATGACAATCTATACGGAGCTTACTCTCTAACATTTACCTATTTCTGGTACATTTCTTTTTCATGCTGTGGTACTTTGAGATAGATGAACATTTTCTTTCAAATGTTTCATCGGGAACATCAACATGCTGTTGTCATGACAACCAATTCTGGTACTAGAGATGATTTTTGTTCTTTTGAACCTAAGCCTGTCTCACTGAAACATTAGAAGTCAAATTCCTTGAAATCAGTGAATTTCCCTCTACACAGTTAAAATTAAATTCAAAATTTAAAATTTTCTGAACGAGTTGATTGTTTAACATTTCAGGTCAGTCAAGAGAGGGAAGGAAAGACGGTAGATGGAAGATGTGCCAGACTCACTGCCTCCTTCATCAGGAACAGAGCCAAGCATGACATGTCTATTCCTGTTTGCTCATTTTATGAGGTTTGCTATTATTTCCTCCATCTTGTAGTGGAGAAATCCCTCTGAAAGGTCTCTGAATTATGATGAATATTCTTGATGATCGGCATCACCTCATATTGTAGACCTTAGTTGACATAAAAGCCATTTTTGATTCATGATTGTTATCCAGTAGAAGATATGATAAACAGTATTTTCCACATAATGAATGATATGTTGACTGATTTTGATAATGTAAGAATTGAGTTGAATGAAGCTGAAATACAGTGTAATTTCATATGGTGTAATTTTGAAATAATTTCATTACTTAATGTCAGTTTTTTTCAACAGGAGTTTGAAAACCAAGGCCGAGAGGCCCCCCTGCCTCCAGGAGTGTATAATTTGGTATGCTACTTGACTCTGTTAAATATTAATAATCAGATGCAACATGATAGCTAGGGAATAAAAATATCTGTTTGTGATCTCTCAAGTAATCTCTCTGAAAAATAATTAAGCTTTTGTTTGGTACAATTATAGTGCATGCTATAATAGATTACAGGACTCATATAACTGACACAATAAGTATAATTTTTCATGTATTCATCTATTCATTTTTAAGGATGATCTCAGGGAATATGGCAAGGAAAAACACTGGTGTCCATATTTTTTGGCAAGACATGGGGTAATGTTTATATTAATTAATTTATTTATTTTGGAACCTCAATTTTTTATATTGCTAAGTCAACTGAGTCTTTGTGGAGATTGATAAACTTCAAGAAAAAAGGATGTATTTTTATTTGTTTTGTTTGGATATCATTAATTATAAAAATTGGTAGGTATACATATATAGGTCTTGTGTGTTTGAATGTTTTTGAGTCAGAATTGTGAAAACCAGATCAATTTAATAGTTTATAGCTGGTTTTAACTTCATTCATTCATTCATTCTCAGTATGCTGCCCTGACCATGTATATTGAAGTTTTTGTTTTGTATCAGTATTTCTGTGATTGACTTAATTTGAAATTCCCTGATGATGTGGCTGCAAAATGAAGAAGAGTTATCACTTAACTGTTCGTTCCTATGATGTTTTTATCTTACAGATTAACCATGCAAATGTTGTCGTGTACAGCTATTATTATCTTCTGGATCCTAAAATTGCCGAGTTGGTCTCCAAGGAGATTTCTAGGAATACAGTGGTTGTGTTTGATGAGGCTCATAATATAGGTAGTGATTACTTTGCTTAATGAGGTATTTTTCTTACCACATACATCTTTGTTTTTTGTTACTTTATTTCATCAGAGCATACATGTTTCAACTAAAGGGGAAATGGACTCTAAAAGTCTTATGACTCATGAAGAAAAGTATAACAACAGAAAACTTGTTTCTTTTTCTTCCTTTGTTGCTTTCAAATGTGAGAAATAAAAAAAGAAAATACCAGTACTTTTGCAGAAAAAGTGATTGCATTTGTTATTTCAGCTTTTTTTATTATGTACAGACACAGATGTGTCTGTACATATAGCCATCATCTGCGTCTGTCGTCGCCGTCGTCACCGTCGTCGCCGTCGTCGCCGTGCACTTTTACCGATAACACGATAAGTGGAAAACCATTTTACCTTTTGACTTGAAACTTGCAGAACTGATGAATATTCATAATACGCAGGTCAAGTTCGAAAATCAGCATGATCGGGTCACTTTTAGGGAATTTATGCTGTTTTTTCACTTTTTTCAGCATATATGCAGCACCGATAACACGATAAGTGGAAAACCATTTTACCTTTTGACTTGAAACTTACAGAACTGATGAATATTCATAATACGCAGGTCAAGTTCGAAAATCAGCATGAT